TAACAATTTAAAGGAACTAGACAAGGAAGAATAAATGAAGCCCAAAGGTAGTTGAAGGAAGGAAATAATAAAGATCAGAAATGAAAGAAAGCTTTAGGAAGATTCACTAAGAAAAAAGGAGAGAGGGCTAAAATAAATCAAATCAGAAATAAAAGAGGAAAACTTACAATTGATAAAAAATCCTGAGACTACTGTAAAGAATTATATGCCAGATATAAGAAGTAGATAAATTCCTAGACTTTATAATCTTCCAAGACAGAATCATAAAGGAACAGAAATCTGAATAGACTGATTACTAGTAAAGGGGTTGAATCAGTATTCAAAAATCTCCCAATAAACGAAAGTTCAGGACCAAATGACTTCACTGGTGAATTCTACTAAACATTCAAAGATTTCACACCTATCTTTCTCAAACTCTTACAAAAAATTAAAGAAGGAAAACTTCCAAACATATTTTACCAGGCCAGCATTACCCTGATATCAAACCAGACAAGGACACCACAAAAAAAGAATATTACAGGCCAGTATCCCTGAAGAACATAGATGCAAATATCCTCAACAAAATATTAGCAAACCGAAATAAACAATACATTAAAAGGACCATACACCATGATCAAGAAGTACTTATTCCAGGGATGCAAAGATGGTTCAACATCTACAAATCTATCAACATAATAAACCACATTAACAAAATAAATGATAAAAATCTCACATGATCATCTCAATAGATGCAAAATAATTTGACAAAATTTAACATCATTTATAATAAAAATGCTCAACAAAGTAGATATAGAAGGAATGTACCTCAACATAATAAAGCCATCTATGACAGACCCACAGTTAACCTCATACTCTGGTAAAAAGACAAAAGTTTTTCCTCTATGATCAGAAACAAAACAAGGATGCTCATTATTTTTATTCAACATAATACTGGAAGTCCCAGGCAAGTAAAAGAAATAAAAGGCATCTAAATTAGAAAGGAAAAGTAAAACTGTCACTATTTACAGGTATCCTGATACTATATATAAAAAACCCTAAAGATTACACCAAAAAAACTAGTATAAAGTAATAAATGAATTTAGTGAAGTTGCAGGATACAACATTAATGTACAAAAATCTGTTGTGTTTCTATACACTAATAACAAATTCTCAGAAAGAGAAATCAAGAAAACCATTCCACTGATTCAAAATGATAAAATATTTAGGAATAAATTTAACCAATAAGGTGAAAGCGGCTGCACTGCTTTGTCGAAGATTAGTTGATCAAAGAGATGAGGGTCCATTTCTGGATTCTCCATCCTATTCCCTTGATCTATGTGTCTGTTTTTGTGCCAGTACCATACTGTCTTCATGAACTATTGGGTCTTCATCAAGATAAAAAGCTTCTGCACAGCAAAGGAAACAATCAACAAAACCAAAAGACAACCAACAGAATGGGAGAAAATATTTGCAAGTGACAAAGCAGATAAAGGGCTAATATCCAAAATCTATAAAGAACTTATCAAACTCAACACTTAAAGAACAAATAATCCAATCAAAAAATGGGCAGAAGAGATGAACAGACATTTTTCCAAAGATGACATATAAATGGCCAACAGACACATGAAAAATGCTCAACATCACTCAGCATCAGGGAAACACATATCAAAACCACCATGAGATACCGCCTCACACCAGTCAGAATGGCTAAAATTAACCACTCAGGAAACAACAGATGTTGGCAAGGATGAGGAGAAGGGGAATCCTCTTACACTGTTGGTGGGAATGCAAGCTGGTGCAGCCACTCTGGAAAACAGTATGGAGGTTCCTCAAAAGGTTGAAAACAGCTACCCTACGACCCAGCAATTGCACTACTGGGTATTTATCCCAAAGATACAAATGTAGTGATCCAAAGGGGTACATGCACCCCAATGTTTATAGCAGCAATATCCACAAAAGCCAAACTATGGAAAGAGCCCAGATGTCCATCAACAGACGAATGGATAAAAAAGATGTGTTATATATATATATACAATGGAATACTCCTCAGCCATCAAAAAAAAATGAAATCTTGGCATTTACAATGACGTGGATGGAAATAGAGAGTGTTAAGTGAAATAAGCCAATCAGAAAAAGACAACTATCATATGATCTCGCTGGTATGTGGAATTCAAGAAACAAAACAGAGGATCATAGGGGAAGAGAGGAAAAAAATAAAACAAGACAACATCAGAGAGGGAGACAAATTATAAGAGACTCTTTAGCATAGGAAACAAACTGAGGGTTCCTGGAGGGAAGCAGGATGAGGGAACGGGGTAACTGGATGATGGACATTAAGGAGGGCACGTGATGTAATGAGCACTGGGTATTATGTAAGGCTGACTTACATAATACATAATACATAATCACTGACCTCTACCTCTGAAACCAATAATACATTACATGTTAATTGAATTTAAATTAAAAAAAACAACAAAAATAAAATAAAGTAGGCGAGTAAGTGGGCTGAGCAAATATAATAGCGTGGCCAGAAGGTGCTTACTTGATACTATTAGTTATAAATTTAAAGTGAGACCAGTTAGAATAGTTGTATGTTTTCTCCAATCACATTCCACTACCTAAGTTCAGGCTCAAAAGAGATAGAGAGTTGGATTTCACCAAGTTAGTTTTTGCCAGGTGATTTGTAATAGTGAAAGACAGGTGAAGCTTTGGAAATTATTATAATAGGAGAACATGGAATTTAAGCCAAAAAAGGAAAATAAAAAATGAGGAGAGGGACATTGAAAAAAAAAAACTAGAAAAATCCATGGATCAAAATAGGACAAAAGTTGTGGAGGCAAAGTCCTCCAGGAATAAGCTGGAAACACAGGAAATAATGGTAAGTCATGGGATGCTTATGATTGAGACTATGGAAGAGTTGCTGTAATAATGAGAAATTTGATGGCATGACAAGAATTAGGACAGTATTGGGAAAAGTGACCAGGAATCAAGTGTTAAAGTCTTTAAAAAATGAGAGTCTGCAGATGACCCACAGAGGGTTAACAGGTGATACAATCTGGTAGCAAAAGCCTCAAAATTTTGGGGGGTGGTTGTGGTTAGGGAGCAGGGAAGAGTCCTGCAGTGAGAAGCAAGGAAAACACCTCCTTCATCCTACTTCTAGACGCAGTGGTATTAAGAGATTAGAGACACCATGAAAGACAATTGCACAACAGTGTGTTCAGGGACAAGCCAGGTTTCAGAGCAAAAAAGATCGAAAAACTCTACAAGCTTAAAATACAGGGAATTGTGCTGATAATGTGCTATAAGAGGGCTTTCTGGAAGAGTTTAGGGAGGTCTGCAGAGGGTGAGGGTCAGATTGGGGTATGACCAGAATCATATGGAATTGAAAGACTAGCTAATGAAGGAAAAGTCTGGAGGTCCAGCGCTTCTGGTGATTAAAGAAGAGGGATAAAAGATAAGATGGAATTGGTCCATTAGACCTAATTTAGTGTTATATGGAAGGACTGAAGGAAGGGAGGGAGGCAGCGAGGGAAAACTTGTGTGCCAGTTATCATATTGCCTCTCAGCTGCAAATTCACCCGTCATTGTCCGCCTTGTTAGAAGCCAGACAATTTAAACACTTCTTTGTTTGCTAGTACAATGTTAAGCTTTGTTAGCAGATGATGTTGGAGGGACCGTGCAGAAGGAAATGGCTTCTGTTCCTGATTAGCAGGCTTTCTTTCTTCTTGTTCCTGCTGCATGTGGGACACATAGTGACATTACCCCTGTGGGAAGCTTCCAGGAGAGTTCTGCTGGTTCCCCTGCCAGCTTCCCTGTAACCTTTGACAGCAACCCCAAGGCCAGTTTCCCACCACATTCCACTGGTGACCCAACTAGCATCCCAGCCCAAAGAGTTCAGCAACACCTGACAACTTCCACCAGCACTCCAGTAGGCTTCCCAGTCGATTCAATGATTCCCCAAGCAGCTTCCCAGTACATTTCACAGGCACTCTAAGCAGGTTCTCAAGAGCTTCATCAGCTCTACAGTGGACAATTTTATGTTTGCCAGCCTCAGCCTATGGCAGCTCAGTGAACTCACCAGCCATTGAATTATAGCCATACCACACCCAATAAGGTTTGAATCTCAGCCTTAAGGGTGGGGGTGTGGAGATTTTCCAAAATCTATTCCTTCTTTGGGTACTATGTATCAGCACTAGGAGTAGTGGCTGCTTCCTTTATCTGCTGTTCCTATATTCTCTAGAGTTCTTTATCCCTTGAAGTTAATTCCCTAAACATAGTTACTAATTATTTAAACTTTCCTTGATCAAATTATTATGCACTTTTTTCTCCTGACTGGAGGCTGACTTATACAACTTATTTGAAGACTAATTTACAGTAATCATTTGAACTACTTTATGAGATTTTAACTTAGATTTCTCTTACAGCAATATGCTCAATGTTCATATGTATCTAAACACATGTGTATGCACATATGTATGCATGTACATATGTAGTCCAGAACAAAACAGGTTTCATATGCTAAAGTAGGCAGCTACTGACATGAAGAAAAATGTCAAATTCCTGCAACTAACACTGTGTTCTTGAGCATTTCACCTAGGTGCTATGAGTGTTAATTTTTTCATCTGAAATACTATAGACTGTACAATAACATTCCTTCCAGCTCTATGATTTTATTTATCTGTGAATTCTCAAATACAAAATTTTCCCACATTTTTATCAAGTATATCACATTTACTTGTTTTATGCACAAAAACGATTGGCTCTGCTTAGGTTGTCCAAAAGTGATTTCACTGATGATGTCACTTTCTTTTTATTGTACCATCTACTTAATATACCTATTTAATGTTTCTCTGTGATTTCTGTAAGTCTTCTTAGTTTTAGAAGACTGGTGAAGCAGAGAATAGCAATGTTCTTTAGTAACTTAATAAAAACAATCCTATGAGTATCAAGATAACTGAACTGCAATAAAAAAAGGTCAAACTGAATTTGTTACTAATACACAGTCTGTAATATGATCATACCTGTTTATGTTTTTGGAGTGGTTTCTTTTCATGTAATTTTTTATCTCCAAATTTCTTATATGTTAAAGGTACTCCATATTTAGCGGCAGGCTTTGTAATTTTCTGAGCAGACACAAAAGAAGCCAAGCTTTGTCCTGAAGCTGGTCTTTTAGCTACATGAAAAGATACAAAGAGTTTTTTCCTAGAGTTTATATTAAATCTTTAATTTCAAAATTCAAGATAGCATTTTTTCATTTTCACAATCATTGACAGCATTTGAGACTTTTCATTAAAAATACTGTTCACTCCTCAGCACATGTCAATGCCTTCTTTATAAACTATTTGATACTAAAGTCATTTTTTGGAGGAAAAAAAAAGCAAAAAGCCACACATCTTTAAGATGTTGAAATTTCTCATATTAAAAAAAAGCACATCCCTAAAATTGACTATGGGTGATGACTGTATTTACCTGTGAATATACTAAAAATCACTGAATTTAAGAGATTTAAGAGCAGACTTTAAATGGTATAGAACTGTAACTCAATAAAGCTGTTAATAGTAACTCAATAACGCCATCATTGTGAGCAACTTTAATACTTTCTTCATCTATAGTCTGAAAGATGTTTATACCTACAGACCTACTGAAGAACAAACACTTTAAAACAATTACTATAGCTCAGAGTCCCATGAAATGGGTACCTTTATACGGTGGGAATATAAAATGGTCAAACTTTCTAGAGGGCAATCTGTATCAAGAACAATGTTTATGGATTGCTTTTAAAGAAATAATCAGAGATACATAAAAATTTATATACAAGTATAAGCCCTACAGCAATTATGTATCCAATTCTTATTGAAGCCTAGAGTTCTAAGACTGAAGGTTCTGTCTTAGAACATGATGAATTCAAGAAAAACAGTTAAATTGAAGAAAATTTAGAGGAAAGTCTACTATTCATATCTCTCAAAGATATTAACTAGGAACTAGGAAAAGTGGAAGAAAAAAAATTTCCCTTTGAGAGTTCAACTGTAAGATCAAATCAGAACACATATATATAACATCACAACATTGTAACTTGGCTAAATGTATTAAAACAACCAAAGAAATATTGTGTATACCAGTACACATACTGGCCACATACTGAAGAAGGAGCTAAAGTCATGAAAGTATAAAAATGAAGATTCCCAAGAGAAAAATACTGAATAGTTCCCATTCACTTCCAGAAAAGAGGGAGAATTACTTATCTGATTTGGGTGTATTTCTCAGGCTCAGTGACAAGGCTGCCAGTGGTATAAAGCTTAATTAATATGGGGAGCTGGAGCCCACAAAGTACCTATAGGCCCATGAGCAATACAATACCTATTTTAGCCTCATGCTATTAAACATTTCATTCATCCAACTCCTGTTACAACAAAATAACTTTCTAATTCCTTGTAGGCTATATGGAAAGAATGTGCTGAGATGGAGTATTTCTGGTCTTTGTGACAATGAGGCTTTTGATTAAGATTTGACTTCTCATGAGGCTTGACCGCCAGGAGAGACATGCTGATTCTGCTGTGTGTTTGTCTCTTGTGAATTTCGTTTAGAGTGACTTGATTTCCCAGGGAATGACAGTCTCTGAACACTGAGACAATGAGTCTAAGGATCTTCAGGAAGAGCTAAATATAGCTGGCCTTCCTAAGAACACACTGCTGTACCACTTCCAGCTTACATGGACTCACTGTTATAATATGGTATTTCTTTTTATTAATTTACTCAAACTCAAAATGGAGAACATGGAATGCACTGTTTGAAAAACAATATACTCTTCAAATCTTACAGTTATCCACTGATTTTAGAAATTCATTCTGAAATCATTTATGAAGAAAAAATACAATTTCCTTCTCACACAAATATATGTATATACATACACATAGTATATAACCATACCCACAATCCTACAAATATTCTACTGCTGCTGGCCACACTTAAAACAAAATTATCCTTGGTAAGGTACCTGATGTCATATTAATTCACTTTTTAAAAATTTTAGAATATGAAGTATTTGTCAAAGAAAAATATATAAAGATATATACTTAACTAAGACATTTTAGAACATGCTACAACAATCTGCTCAGAATATCAGCTAAGCAACTGATAAAGATGGAAGACTTCAAGATAGATTTAATTCAAATAAGGCAGACAAGAAATGGAAATTTTGTTATTAATTCATCACAAAGTGTTGTATACTGTCATATATCAAAAATAATTTAAAGATGAATTTCCTCTGGATTAATTTTATCTAAATTTACCCCAACTTATTATATCTACATGTATCTCTAGTATAATTAGAAAATATTAATTAGTACTAGTATATTGATTATTGCAAACAGGTGAAGACTCATTAAATTTCATTTACCTGGTACAGGCTGCGCTCCAAACTTGGAAAATGTTTTTAGACAAAATTCTTCCGCAATAAGCTTAGATTGAAGGAGGACAAAGAAAAAGTTAGAAAAGATGTGAAACTTCCAAAATAAAAACCCTACCCATTATTCAGATTACATTTTTCTCTTTTCAGTCACATATATGCTATCAGATAAACTTTACTTATTCAACCTAAGTAATCCCAAATTCCTCTCATACTAATTCCCTTCCACTCTTACAAATTTATTTTATGACTTTTCCAGACAACCTTTCTTCTCAAATTAACCTAATGAACCACAAAGGCCCCCATAAACTGCTTTCCTGTTCTATGTCTCAGCTATTTAACACAATTACCTCCTATCTGGAATAGCCTCTATATTTTATATACAGCCAAATCCCTCATTTACCTCAGAACTAATAATCACTTAATTACCGCTTTCTCAGATTAACCTCTTAGTTATTTCAACTTTACTCTGAATCTTCTCAGCATCTCCAATGAGTTTTCACTTTTAACAATATGTAATTATAAACATACTACTGGATAAATATTTGAATATTCTTAGATAATTCAACAAGTATCTCTTCTTACTATTACTAAAATACTCCTGTACTTAATTCTCTAGCATTCATGAACATATTTTGAGAACCAAAAATCATTAGTATTTCCTGCAAGTCATTTTTTCTCCCTACTCACTAAATTTTCTTTTTCCCCTCTTTAAGCGCAAAACTATGACACCAACAAAGATTTAACTCAATTTAAGCCTGCTTTTTTTTTTGTTGGGTGGGGAAAGGGAAAACAAGTGAATTTTCTCTTTTTTCAAGAGAAATGAGGCCTGCTGAAGAGAATATTCACACAGTAGCAGTGGAACAGAAGCTCCAACAGGCAAAAAACCATGACTGAGATGGTCATCTGTCCCATTAAGGACCCTCCAATAGCAGTTTTCAAGTTATCTCATACTGGCAGAATCAGCATCACCAGGGACATATTAAATGTGGAAATTCTCAGGCTCCCACCTCAGAAACACTAAAATAGGAATTGTAGTGATGGGACCCAGCAATGTTCTCCAAGTGATTTTTTAAAGTATGCTAAAGCTTAAAAACCACTGCACCAAAAGATAAATTAAGTGAAGGTCTGGTTCACAGGCAATTCAGAGCAACTGTGTAAATGTATTTTCTCTTCTGAACACTTGCATTTTTTCCCTTTCTTTTGCATGGAAGAAAATAAGTGCTTTATAAACTCCAACTTGCCCCAAACTGGATAGTTTCTTTGAGTCTTTCTTTTTTGTGTGAGTGCAAATATGAACTAAGAGATGGAGCACGAAGAATCCAAGAAGATTCTGAAATCTCTATGCTATGTTGTTCAATATAGTTGCCAGCCATAAGTAGCTATTTGGATTAAAATTTTAAATAAATATAATTTTAAATTCAGCCCCTTGGTCACACTAGGCACAATTTAAGTATTCAATAACCACATGTGGCTAGTGGCTACAATGTTGGACAATGCGGATATAAAACACTTCATCACTATTGATGCACTATTGAAAGTACTATTGGACAACACCTATACTGCTAAGGAATCAGAGCTTATCCATGATTTGTCAAGCTTCTTCCAGTGTGTGCAAGATTGAGAATTAAGCCCTATTAAACCTTGGGTGACAGTACTTAGAGAAGAAGAGATTTTTTAAAAGCCCTACAGAACATTATAGTAGTTCATATATTATATAGTAAAGCTCACAAATTGTTTCAAAGTTAAAGCCTTAAAAAATGTATTGCAAACTTTCTCACTAGAATACCAAAGAAGTGATATATAGCAGAAAATAAAACTTAGGAACCAAAGAAGAGATTTTCACAAAAAAATGAAATCTAAGTGATGTCTAAATAGCAACAAGGAGCTATTAATATATTAAACTATCAAATATTGCACTTGTTACTAATCATAAATAATCTGTCCTTTTTTCTTTCCATATTATAAATTTTGATATATCAGGCTTGCACGTTTTCCTTCACTGCTGGCTAGTTGAATTCAAGTGCTTCAGCCTTGAGACTGTACGTCTTAACCACTGGTTTTGGGAGGAGGGAACCTCACCAAGATTCAATGAAGTTACTCTTTCTTCGTCAGTAGTTGCCAAAAAACAATAGTATATTGCATCATAAATCTGTCCTTGAAATTGTTACTTATAACAAAGGAGTCTTATAAGATACCTAAGTTTCAGGGATTCTTGCTATATCCTATATAAGTAACCTTCAATCTACACATTTTAATTGGCTTTTTGCTGACTAATGTGTTCTCCTGGTAGTAATAGTTAAATCCACACCTCTGTTTTCTGAAAATTATTTGCTCACACAGATGTTCTATTAACCCAGAGAATATATGACACTTCCCTCTTATCCCATGAGCATATAAAAGTAATAAAACTATGATTTTGCTAGATACATGATTTACAGAAGAATTTAACAGTTATCATTTAAATTAACAAAGGCCACACAGAACATGTAATATAAAATAATTCCAGTTTCAGATGATATTTATATCAATAACTTGTACAAACTGATTTGATATAAATTTTTAATAAATCCTGTCAAAGTAAAATTCAGTTCAACTCAACATTTATTACGCATCTTCATGTGAGTATGAGGAAAAATCATAAGTCAGCAATCTGTTATACATACAAATGCCCACAAAACAAGTTTTCAATAATTATCCAAATAGAATATAATCATATAACTTAAGATATTAATGTTTATATTAGTATAATAAAATAACACATTGATAATATTTATATTGAATATATTGAGCACTTATTACATGCTAGACATCAGGCACTTTATGTACATTATCACTTTTTAAAAAAAAAACCACCTCATGATGTAGATATATTTATAATCCCATTGTTTACAGGTCAGTGAGGCACAGAAATGCTTAATAATTTTACAATTAGAGATGGTTACCAGAGGGGAGGTAGGTAGGGGGATGGATAAAATAGGTGAAGGGGATTAAGAGTACACTTATCTTGATGAGCACTATTGTGCAGAATCATTGAATCACTATACTGTACACATGCAACTAATATAACCCTGTCTATGTTAACTATACTGGATTTAAAATTTTTTTAAATAATAATTTTACAGTTAGAAACCTAAGAAGACAGAAAGTAGAGAGGTGATTGCCAGGAGTTATGACAGAGGGAATGGGGAGTTACTGGTTAATGGGATTGAGTTTATTTTATAAGATGAAGAGTTGTGAAGATGAATGGTGGTATTAACTGCACAGCACTGAAAATCTCTTTAATACCACTGAACTGGACACTCAAAAATGGATAAGAGGATGCATTTTATGTTGTGTACATTTTACCACAATAAAAAAATTGGAAAACAAAACAGAAACCCAAATCAAAAGAATGATTTTGTGATACTATGATTTATATTAAGAAATACATATCTGGTGTCTAGTTCCTGGCATACAGCTCCTAAAACCCTTAAAGTACCCAAAAGGTTAAGAGAATAAAGGTGTTTTTTTGTTATTCCTAACAAGCCACTTTCAACCACACCTGAATTTATGTTAATGACGTGACATCTGGAAAGCCCCTAAGGATGGAAGCTGATTGCCAGGGAAATGTACCACAGGATTAGAGGGTTGAAACTTTCAGTCTCACTCCCCTCCCTGAGAGGAAAGGGACTAGAGGCTTAATCAAACACTAATGGCCAATGATTTAATCAATCATTTCTACATAATAAAGCCTCCGTAAAAAACTGAAGGACAGGATTTGGACAGCTTCTGTGTTGGTAAACATGCCAGCAGGGTGACACATCCTAATTTCACTGGAACAGAAGCTCCTGCTTTCAGGACCCTTTCAGACCTTGCCCTACATATCCCTTTATCTGGCTGTGGGATCTGATGATCTATATCTCCAGTCAGTGCCAGAAGTGAACTAAATTGGACACCCAGCCGTGTTGCAGAAGTGCCTGGTGTGGGAAAAACTACCACACATTTGGTGATTGGAAGGGTGAGAAGTTCAGTATTAAGTGTTAGGAGGAAACACAGGAGGAATGTTTTCCCTCGTACAGATTCACAACCAGAAAACAAATCCAAAGAGGAAGAATATAAGAATGGAAAGAAAGGTGACTCCAGTGTCATCTGAAAAAGGCACTTCATTCTCCCAGAACTGTGATGTGCTCTCCTCAAAACATAGGTCATGCCCTAGTTAAGCATCATAACCTTATTATTTTCAAGTAAAAAAAAAAAAAACAACAAAACACGTACCTGAGGTGAGAGAAACTTTTCAATGCGTTTGGCTATAAAACCTTTCTCCAATATGGAGTTGACTGATGGTCTATCCCTAGGATTTCTTTTAAATAACTGAGAGAGTAAATTGCGGAGGTCATAAGAATAATGTAAAGATACAGGTGGAAAAGATCCAGAGATTATCTTCAGTACCAGGTTTTTCATATTGCCAGCTTCAAACTAAAATCCAGAAAACAAATTAACATATATGAAACATACATACATTGAAAATAGGAATAAACAATGAGAAATCGTTCTCTTCCTATGGAACAGAAATATAATCCTCTTACAAATATTTTAATCAGCATATGTTCTCTCTTTTAGAGTATGTTCTTTAGAACAAAGTTCACGGATTTATAAACATATTTAAGAGACTATCAGTCCTCATAAAACATAACTTACTGTAATATTAATTTTTGCTCACTCAAAACACTAAAAGATGGAATAAAGGTATTAAAGATTTTATAAAAACAGTAATAAAAGACAAAAACAAACCTTGTAGTCTTAAGACCTGCCTACCTATGGCCCTGTTGCAGTAAGTGAAACAAGAAATTAACTACAAAACTAAAAGTATCTGGGAAAAAAACACAATAAATGAAAATACTAGGATGCCTAAGTAGGTCAGTAAGTTAAGGGTCTGACTCTTGATTTCAGCTCAGGTCATCATCTCATGTGTCATGAGATCAAGTTCTGCATCTGGCTCTGCACTCAGCGGGGAGTCTGCTTGAGAGTCTCTCCCTCTGCCCCTCGCCCAACTCATGCACACGTGCCCTCTCTCTCTTAAATAAATAAATCTTAAGAAAAAATAAATGAAAATACGAATTACTTTCCTTCTACACACTGCTTAATATTTTTAAGTGTGTGATGCTTCCAAAAGCCATGTAGTGAGCAACATGGCAAGTATTCCAAAGGGGAATATAAGCCATATCAATGGGAATAGTATATATTTAAGGAGTAAACACAATATAAACTCTAACTGAAGTTAAAAAAGAGAAAAACCAACAGCGGTGGGGCAGTTTAAAATCTAAAGATTTCATTTTGAAAGTAAACAAAATTAAGCTTTTGACATCTCTGCTAAAATAGAACAGTTGTACGCTGTTAACGTATTCTTAACATACACATTAACAAAACATGCTATAAATTAGGTATTGGTGATTATACCAAGTATAAAAAAGTTCTGCTAAATCTTGAATTCTAGACATTTAAAATATGATATTCATGGGATGCCTGGGTGGCTCAGTCATTAAGCATCTGCCTTCGGCTCAGGTCATGATCCCAGTGTCCTGGGATCAGGCCCCACATTTGGCTCCCTGCTCCGCGGGAGATCTGCTTCTCCTCTCCCATTCCCCCTGCTTGGTTCCCTCTCTTGCTGTGTCTCTCTCTGTCAAATAAATAAAACCTTAAAAAGGTAAAATATGATATTCAGCATATTAAAATTTGAGTATAATTCAGTAGTCTAAAAATATCTATGTACCTAAGAAGGAATTCAAAATGCATAATGATAGATTATTCCTTCACTACAATGAATTTTCACTGTCTCTCAAATGACAAGCTTTTCATAAAGGTTAGTGAATTACTTAATTTCATGTGTCTACTTAAAAGTAAATAATTCCAAAATACAGAAGCAATGGTGACAGAACATAGATGAAAAAATGAAAGAAAATACACTGATTTATATCTAAAATGACTGTGTCGAAAAACTGACCAATTCCTTCAAATACAGATCTGATAACTACCATTCCACATCACTTTCGCAGTCCATGCTTTCATAAGGTAATACAGTCTTAAAAGAGTATGCAACCATGAAAAAACACAGCAATGAAAAAATATCCCCCAAATAATATCAAGCAATAAAAACAGGCTATAAAGCTGCTTAGACAAAATAATTAAACTGTAGAAAGAAAAAAAAACCTCATTTTATAATCTATAAGAAAGCCTAGAAGGAAACAAAATATTACAAGTACTCATTACCAGTTGTAAGAATTGTTTTTGATATTCATTCACTTTCTTTATATTTTTATCTATTTTCTTAAGTTTTCTGTAATGAAAATACATTCTTGTTTAATGGGGGAAGCATTTTTTGTTGTTGTTGTTGTTAGAAAGACAGAGAGAGCATGCCCGCACAGGGTGGGCAGGGAAGGGGGTAGAGGGGGGAGGTGAAGAGGGAGAGGGAGAGAGAGAATCTCAACCAGGCTCCACACCCAGCAAGGAGACCAACACAGGGCTCTATCTCACCACCCTGAGATCATGACCTGAGCTGAAATCAAGAGTTGGATGCTTCGTTGACTGAGCCACCCAAGCACCCCCAGGGGAGCATTTTTAAAAAGCAAAATTTTGAAATGGAAAGTGATTAAAATTCAACCTATTTAAGACAAAAACTTCCCCTCTGGGGTTTATGTGCCATCTCAACAAAGTCTCAAAAATTAAAAAAAAATATTTTTAAAGATTTATTTGAGAGAGACAGAGAGACAGAGAGCGAGCACGTATGCACAAGCAGGGGAAGGAGCAGAAGGAGAGCAGCATGCTCCTGCTGAGCATGGAGCCCAACGCCAGGCTTGATCTCACCCTGATCACCACCCTGAGATCATGACCTGAGCCGAATTCAAGAGTTAGATGCTTAACCAACTGAGCCATCGAGGTGCCCCCAAAATAAGTTTTAATTAAAGAGCATTTGAATTGATAAAATCCCTTAAAGAATATGTCGAAAATGTTCTTTAATTTCAATTCCAAACTCAAATACAATTCAATTCCAAATACTCTGGGTGTTTTGAGAGAAATTGCTAAGATGAAACAAAAATCATTAAGCTAAAATACCAAATTCACATACGAATGCAACATTAAAAAGATAGCAAGTTTATTTTTGTCGTTAGAAATAATTTCCTGTGGGGGAGCGCCTGGGTGGCTCAGTTGGTTAAGCATCCGATTCTTGATTTCAGCTCAGGTCATGATCTCAGGGTTGTGGGATCGAACCCCCCGTCCAGCACCACAATCATCAGGGGAATCTGCTGGAGATTCTCTCTCTCCCTCTCCAAAATAAATAAATAAATCTTTAAAAAAAAGAACTTCCTGGAAAAAAGTATAACATATGTATTACAATAACAAATATATAACATACATATGTAATATACACATATATGTTAAGGGCAAATCTATTTAAATTTATACTTAAGATGAGAAATTTAAAAACTGACAGAGAATTTCTAGTGCAAGAGGGTGACCTGAAAGATGGCATATGATTTAAAAATATATATATTACAGGTACTTTAGGACACAATTTTTTAAATATTTCAGAAACTTCTACTTACTGCATGTTTAAGTGTACACATCTCATACAGGACACACCCCAGAGCCCAAATGTCACTAGAAAAGGGAAAAATGAGAAATCTTCTCTAAGTATCAGAATTTACTTAAATTTTTTTTCATTTAAAGGAAACAAAAGCACCATGAAAATGATTTCCAAAAATATGTGTTCCATAAAACTTATCCTTTAAAACTCAAAATTTCAGCCATAACCAAATGATAAAAGCAGCTATCCCAGATTAGAAAAACAGCAGTTGCCCAAGCAATTATTTTATTTTTGTATTAATTCCCTCACTTTATTTTGTAATCAGTTTTTAAATTTAAATTCAAGTAATTAACATATACTCTATTATTGGTTTCAGAGGTAGAGTTCAGTGATTCATCAGTTGTATATAACACCCAGTGCTCATTACACCACATACCCTCCTTAACGTCCATTACCCAGTTATCCCTTCCCTCCACCTTTCTCCCCTCCAGCATCCCTCAGTTTGTTTCCTATAATTAAGAGTCTCTTATGGTTTGTCTCCCTCTCTGGTTTCATCTTGGTTTATTTTTTTCTCTCTTCCCCTATGATCCTCTATTTTGTTTCTTAAATTCCACATATCAGCGAGATCATATGATAACTTTCTCTGATTGACTTATTTCGCTTAGCATAATACCCTCTAGTTCCATCTACGTCGTTGCAAATGGCAAGATTTCATTTTTTTTGATGGCTGAGTAGTATTCCACTGTGTATATATGCCACATCTTCTTTATCCATTCATCTGTCGATGAACATCTGGGCTCTTTCCACAGTTTGGCTATTGTGGACATTGCCCAAGCAATTATTTTAAAGTTTTATTAAAGGAATGTAATATTTAAAAGAACAAAACCAGTAAATTCCATGAATATTCTATTTACCTATTTTATTCAATTACTTACAAAAATACCATGATTTTAAAAAGTATTTTAAAAGCAAAATACTGTTTTAATGATGAACAAGAAAATATTAATTTACTAAAATTAAATCTGAAATAAACTTATAACAGTCTACTAAAATATTATGTAAGGTAAATACATTAATTATTTAGTCTTACTTTAAGGACATACTACCTTCTTTACAGTTTCTTCCTTCCTTTTATCTTAAACATATTTTTATAATTAAAAAATACTATTTCCATTTTTAAAAAGAAAAAATAAAAGACTCATAGTTAAGAGCTACACTGGTCCTTAGTAGTCAACAAAAGCCACTGCTCCTCAAAGTTGAGCTTATTAGAAAAGAATAAAATCTAACACTGAAATCCCAAGGTTATCTTGAACCAAACTCATGAAAAGCTACAAATATAAAACTGTAACCCCAAAAATCTACTTAATTTCAAGATTCAACTTGTAAAAAAAAAGTAAATGTAATTAAATTTATTATTGATTTAGTATTTAATTAGTTATTTAGTACTTGTATATGTTAATACATGACCCATGTATAAAAAAAATTAAACTAATGATCCTATATTAATAAAATACTTTAAAACATATTTAGACAAATATAAATTTTTGAAGTATATAGACAATGCTCATCCATGACATTTTTAAACCATTTTCTCCACAAAATTAATTTTATGTAAAATTCTCCAAAGGATGATTAAATCCATTCCTAGTTTAAAAACTGATTTTTTTCACAGTTGACTTATCCATAAGACACAGAAATAGCATGAAAATGGAAAATTACTTTGGCTCAAAGAAAATGCTACTATCCTTAAGAATATCCACTAATAATACATTCCATGAACTAGACTGATCATCGTAATTTAAAATCATTTAAAAAATACATTGCTGGGGGGGCACGTTGGTGGCTCAGTAGGCTGAGCGTCCAACTCTTGGTTTCAGCTCAGGTCATGATCTCTGCATCCTAGGATGGAGTCCCGAGTTGAACTCTATGCTCGGCAGGGAGTCTGCTTGGGATTCTCTCTATCTCCCTCTGCCTCTCCCCCTGCTCATGCTCTCTCATTCTCTCTCTCAAATAAATAAATAAATATTTTTAAAAAATACATTGCTAGGATGATGTTCTCTGCCTCAACTGCTCAGGTTTTAAATACAGTTTTCTTCCCACTCTCAAATAAAGGAACTATCACTTTCTTCCTTTTAGCTTCTGTGTGTGCTTTCAAATTTAAGACCAATGTTTCTTGGCTAGGATACTTCAATTAGAAAGAGAGAAAATAAAGGGTAAATGGAATTCAGTGGCAGAATATATTACACAATCCGTTAGCCACAGTACAATTCAATGATTAGGGATCTGGGCTTGGGAGCCAGATGCCTGGGACTTCCAAGTTGCTTTACCTCTCTCTCTGTATTTGGCTTCCTCACAAGGAAAAGGAAGAATAATGAATACCTACAATTCACAAGGTTATTGTGAAGATTTTTTTTTTTTTTTT